CACGTGCATCAGTGAGCCTTGGTCGCCCATGACCCTGTCTTTGACCTGTTTTTTTTCCTTCCTTGGACCACTTTTAATAGATACTGACCACTGCAGACCGGGAACACCCCACAACAGCTGCAGGTTTGGAGATGCTCTGATCCAGTCGTCTAGCCATCACAATTTGTCCCTTGTCAAATTCGCTCAAATTGTCACGCTGCCCATTCTTCCTGCTTCTAACACATCAACTTTGAGGACAAAAATGTTCACTTGCTGCCTAATATATTCCACTCCACCCTGACAGGAGCCATGATAACCAGATAATCAGTGTTATTCACTTTAGTGGTCATAATGTTATGGCTGATCTGTGTATATTGTTTTAGTTAATAGAGCTACGTAGTTATCAAATGCACTCCTCATGGCCAGAAATAAACTCTTTGTGTCATTCATCTTCTCACTAAGATAGATGGTGGTTTTTTTCACATCAAAAATATTCTGTATCTTTCCTGATGAAGCACATTACCTGAGTTTCACAATCTGCTCCGCATTCCCTCATCCTCTCTTTTTCTCATCCTCAGTACTCTGCATTGCTCTCTGTCTCCAGCCCCTGCTCTCTTCTCCCAGGCCATGTACTTTCCTTCAGCTCCCCAGACCTGAAGCTGTCTGCCAGATAACCTGCCTGCCCCGACCCATCTACACACCTGTTCCCACTTCTCCCATCAGCCCTGCAGTCAGCTGCTCTACTCTGCCCACTCCTCACCTGCAGCTGATCCCCTTATGATACGATGCCATGCTTCATGCTTTTGCTTTCTAGCCTTTGTAACCTGTCTGTACCTTGTTTCTTGGAACCCCATTATCTGTTTCTAGATTTATATTTAGTCTCTTATAATAATAATAATAATAATAATAATAATAATAAATTAACAACGTTAATTCTGTTGATTTCTAATGTGAGAAGTAATACTTGAGATTAGAAACCAAGTTTTGAGGTAGTTTAAGTAGCTTTAAGGTTGTTAAAATTACCTTATTCATTTTATTTATTTATTAATTGTCATATTCACTATATTCTACATCAGCTTGTTCCAACTCTTCTATGAAATTATACTGTACTGTACAGTAAACTTTATGATGTTTGCATTGAGTAAAATATTCAAATAATTTGATTTTTTTTTTTTTTCTTTTTCAAAATTCTGTAATGTATCTCAACTGGAATTGTGTTTGGCTGTGCAGTTTTAATGTGTAAAGGCTGGTCACTGCTTCTTAAAGGGTTAAATTATTTTTTATTAGGTTAGGTTTATTAGGTTTTCTGGAAAGAGAAAAATTGCCCCTGCAATAATTTGACTTGACAGTGATTACTATTAGCTGCAGGAGCTTTCAGAGATATTTGGTGGACCCTTGCATGCTTTTGTGTCTGATTTTCCTTCAAACTTTGAACTACTAAACACACCTTCTCCTGAGACCACTACTTAAGTCTCACTCACTGACTTACTGGTGTTCGATTTGAAAGTTGAGGTGTCCACTGAACCAGTCGTTGAAGGAGGACTTCTCAATATTACAGGTGGCTTGTAACTAAAGTATGGATGAGACAAAAGATGAGTTAATAATCAGCAACTACAGTTGAAAGCAGTCAGGGTGTTTCATAATAAACCAGGTACCTGCATGGTCAGCCAGTCATGGTGCTTCTCGTGGTCGATGTCCATCGGCAGATGATTCATCTGAGTCACCCACACAAACCAGTGACTCTCCAAAAACCTGTCAATCATAACAATAGAACAGTGAATAATGCGTTACACCGTGAGATACAGGTGGTAAAAATGTGGTATCACTTCCTGATAAGACATACTTTATAACAGGTTATAAAATAAGTTATATAACAAGTTAAACCTAGTGAGTTTATTTAAAGGTCTAGTGTGTAACATTTAGGAAGATCTATCTGGAATATAACATTCATAGGTATGTTTTCATTAGTGTATAATCACCTGAATATAAGAGGAAGGTTTGGGGAAGCATGTTTTAAGAAATGTGCGTACAAGTTGGACCCTTTTAAATTTAGAATCCACCTTTAATAAAAGTGCTGCAGAGCATCCAGCTCAAAAATCATTCATTAATAATTTAAAAAGAACATTTACAACTCTCCAGTGATCCATAAGTTACAACATAGAAACACCAAATAAAGTATCTCTTATAAGGAAGTCTTACCAAAAAACGTTTTGAGTTAATATTCTTTCAGGTGATTTACCTGACGAAACTGATGAGCGCCAACGAGCCAAACAGGCCATACAAGGGTACATAACAGCACAGGTAGCGAAGGTAGTAAGACATAGACCAAGCCAGATCCTTCACAAGACAAGATGGTTAATATGATTCATATATCTCTGTTATTAAGAATCCTGACCCCCTGAAACTCATCTCTTATCTTTACTTGTGCAACATTTTCACTGTAATGTTTGTATTATTTCAGGTCTGTAAGTTGAAACAATAATAGAACTATTATCCTACATGTAACGTGACATATCAAACAAAAAAATCTAAAAATAAATGGAACTGTACCACACAGAAAACAGGATCTTACCACCCAGTCATGGCGGGAAATCATGGTGCGTATAATCTGAATGTGAAAGTAAACTGGAATGAGCAGCGGTGGTCCAACTAAAAGAGAAAAAGGCAACAATTATTTCTGTAAAGTTTTCACAGTTTCATTCTTTTAAAGTGACTCCAAGAAAACGTACCAAGAAGGAAGTACTGGTGTTGGTGATGATAGGGCATATATTTGATCTTCTTTATGCCATACTGTAACAGAGATGAATACAGAGTTAGAATGAGCAGCTGGTGAGAGATTAAATAGTATATCATACTGGATGTTTATGGGCTGTTTCATACATATCAGCTTTGTGCTACTTGCCTCTACTGGTTGAGTGGCTCCAACTACGAAGATGTGCAACATGTTGACATCTGGGTCCTTACTGAAGATGTTGGGTTTAGCATGATGCTGGAAATGCCGATGATTCCACCAGTTGGCAGAGGCTCCCTTAAGAAAACAATCTTTTTAATATCTATGTAAAATTTCCAGAGAGGAAATAGGCTGAGAATATTTATATATATATCGAGAATACAAATTACCTTTAGATGACCGATGACAAACTTGTGCAACATGTGATTCCAGCTGGACTTCTTGAAGACAGACAGGTGGCCAAAGTCGTGCTGCAGCCATCCAGCCTGCGACTACAGAAGAAGCATTTAGATGATTTGTTTGCAGCAGAATTTGACTTATAGTTCGTCAAGAGATAATGATGCTCCGGTCACCTGAGCAGTTGCCAGCATGATCGAGCACAAAAACGTCAGAGTCCAGCTGGTTCCCCAGAGCCAGATGATGAGCCAGGCGAGGGCCTCCAACAGCAGGATGTGACCCAGGTGGAGGCAGAAGAACAAAGGCCGAGCTTTAAACAGACCCTCGCTCTCCGCCTGCGCGCGTAAAGTGTGGAAATCCTGCATAATTGCTGCCTGAGAGCAGAAAGGCAGAAAAACAAACGTCCTGTAAAGCTGAAAAGATGATGCATGATGTGACATTTGCCAGTTTTGGGGGGGTGTATGAAACATGGATGATCTAATAGCTTTTAAGGATGTGCAGCAGCAGAGTTTGTGTTACAGAAAAGAACAAGAGTTTGACTTATTTAACAGCTAATGAAACACGAGTGTCCAGAATCTCAGATGTGCTTGAACAATGTAAGACTCATGAATAACAAAACAGATCTGTTAATGATTTGACCCCGCTCCTTCTCCTCAGGTGTTTCTGGACATGGCATCCATCCTGTTGACTTACACTTAAGCTGCTACGTAATGTGAAGTTTTATTTGAAGAATCTGAGACAGATCTCACATTTTTGTTTTGGTCCTGGCTGGGCTCTGTCGCTGCCAGCTCTCCAATCAGCAGGGGCTTCAGAAACTTTTGCACAAACTTTAAATCGGGATGAAAAGCAGTGAATGCCTCCTGGAATGCAGAAATGACAAAGCCTGTCAGGGATGCAGTCAATAAAAAGCTATGTACATGTATCAGTGGAGGAAGAAGCACAGAATACAAATCAAAATACAGTCCTGCATTCAACATGTATCATGTCCTGAATATATTGTATGAAAAACATCCTTGCAAGCTGTGTTATCCATAGATATATGATAGGATGGAGAGGGACTCATTAATATGAAGGAGGATTGGGAAAGGCTTTGAGGGGTGGTCAGATGATAAATAGGACAAGAAATAAGCCTACTTTTTTCAGACTTTTCTCTAATATTTAAATTTTGTTTTTTAAATATTGGATAATTTGTCCTCTTTGGTGGAATTTGTGACAACTTCTGAAATGTGACAAAGGTCACCAATCTTAGTTTAAGATTAAATCAGCAGACTCCTTGAATCACAAGCCAGAAATGCTGATTTAAACAGTGTTTTCGATTTATCTGATCTGTAGACAAAAACGTAATGAAGTACAATATATTCTTCTGAAATGTGGAGCAGAAGCATCAAGTGGCAGGTGATATAGGGAATATTCAAGAACCTCAAAATCATATTTAGGTTCAGATGTGAGTTAGTCATATTAGACCATTGATATTTATTAACACCAAAACAACAAAAGCTACTTATGTTGTCAGGAAATGTGTTAATAATATATTTATTTTCAAGAATATAATAACTTAAAAGCCATATTACCGTGGCATCCTCTCCAGCATAGTGGCTGATGACACGATGCCCTCCTGGGTGCCTTTTGGCCCACTGGGTTATGTTATAAACCTTTCGATCAATGACCAGCCACTGGTCGTTCCTGTTGCAGTGGCTCTGCACCTCCTCCCAGGTGTAAACACCACCAGCTCGCCTGCTGCCCGACTCTCCTGGCTCCGTCAGTTGGCCTCCACCTCCCATCCTCACTGCTGTCTCTGGCCTGGATCCACCTGTACCCTACACTAAAAAGATCCAGCCAGCCACAAGTTTGACACCTGGATGTGGGAAAGGTCTGTTAACACCCCTCTGACAGTCTGCAGCTGCAGATTGTGCAGAGGGAGCAGCATTCAGAGGAAGAGGGTTTTAACCTATTGCTCCCTTTACTAAAAAACACCCAACTGAACACAAGTGAAGTAAGACAAAGAGCAGAGCAACACCTTCACTAATAATAGATGATGAAATCCGACAACCAGGAAGCTGTTTGCTGAAACAGGGCGGATTTTCACATATGGAGTTGGCATCGTTTGTCTGTATCGACATTAAGCACGACTGTAGCCTAAATGCACATCCCCAGACAGTTAAATCATCTATATTTAGCCTGTCAGTGCGTTAGAGACTATTCATTTCTATAGCAGCCCGTGTAAGCAGTCGCAGTCCATCATAATGTGAAAAATAGGACACGCAGCAGAGATGTCAAAGCACAAAGAGTCTATCGAATAACGTTTATCGCCTGTGAATCGATTAATTCAACACTAATCGCACATAATAACGGGGTGGGAGGCTGCCCAGCCTACAGGCCCGCTGCATGAAGATAAAGAAATATTTCAGACTTACAATATTCAGATTGTGGCTACTCTCCTCGGGGTTCAGACACATTAACACACCGGCTCACTTTATGCGCTCCCGTTCCGTTCACATCCATTTTCAACCGTAAACATCCCCAAATTCATCCTCTGTCCTCCTCAATATGTCCACGGACTCATTCACCCACTCATTCAGTACGAATTCCAAGCCGATCATTCGAGGGTTTCTGGGCCAATCGGCGTACAGTATATCCTAGACCACTGGCTGATGTGCAATAGGCTCAATAAACAGCTCATCTGAATATTACAGAGTCGTCTGTGCGCTCAGACGGAAAGAGTCTGCGGGAGCGCGTCGCTTTTTACTCTTTCCTCCATTATACACAGTCCGAAGAGAAATACTCTGACCCAGCAACACCACAGTGTGAAAAAACAAACGCTGTTACAAGTGAAAGCATTCGTAAAATGAAATAAAATTTTAAGTAGGCTTGGCATCACAATAGATACCAAAAGTGAGTAAGTACTCATTGGACAGTTTCAGAAAAATAGATATTATAGCCTATCACTGGATTATAATGAGTGCATTAATGTCACTTTAATGGTGCAGCTGGTAAAGGTTTAATTTATAATAATACATCATCATTTATTAATGTATAATGTAAAATATATGTAGTGGACCAGAGCATAAAGAAAGTAGCATAAAATGGAAATATTCAAGTAAAGTACGTTAAAAATGTACTTAGTTGGATTACACACATACAATGTTACTGGGCATTATCATTGTGGCCTACAATAGGTATGGTCGTAGTTGTAGTTCACTTTATATTCTCTTAATTTTATTGTAGTTATTTTAATTACTTATGGCTCTTTTTCTTGCATTGATGTTTATTACCTACCTCATCATGATTTATGCTACTTGGTTTCCACAACATCTATCTATCTATCTATCTATGAATTGCATTTTAGTGGGGTTTGTTATCTATCTATCTATCTATCTATCTATCTATGTATCTATCTATCTATCTATCTATCTAGGTTTAGGTTTGCTGGTGTAATCTTCTCTTCTCCAGTCCAATACCTGATATTAGCAGCCTGGCATACAGCAGTAGTTACAGTTATATAAACAGTGGTTTAGGATTAGTTTGAGGTGGCAAAATAAAGGCAAATCCGTCCATTTTTCATTGACTTGCCTGTTTTCATTGTCAACGTTTGCTGTCCTCACTCATAGTGAACATTTACTAACTGGTAAATTAAGTGCTTGATTACACACTAATGAAAACATAGCTATGAATATTATATTCCATTACTGCCAATAGATTCTCCTTAATGTTACACATTCACCTTGAAGGCAGGCCAGCTCACCTCTATCCAGGTTCAGCAGTACCTGTTTAATGAATTTAAAATGCACTACGGGTACTCCAGGTACAGTTCATAAATTAGGCCAGACCCGAGGCACATTACCTGAGGGGAGTTAATCCACGCCAATATGTTCCCTGCTTTTGATGGGTTCAGGTGAAGAGGAGCCAGGTCTTGGGCCACCGCTTCCTGAAGGCTGGGGACTCCAACAGGAATTTATTTGAAGGCATTCTCATCATTAATATCCAAACAGAGTGTGAGGGATGAGATAGAAAGACAGACTATAGGGAAGGGAGATACGAGGGATTTGTTTGTACGATCTGGAATCACTGAGTATTAATAGCATAAAAAAGTCAAATAAAATAACCCCACAATGACCAGAGGCCTCAGTGAGACAGGGAAGATGATTTCTGTTGGCACTGTAATCTGAAAGGTAGAGAAATACAGAAAAATGGTCTAAATTAACTTAATCATAACTTCAGTCCCCCCAACAACAACAACAATAACAAAACAAAATATACCCACCTTCGTCTGTCGCAGTAAGAAGACAACAGGTGTTACCAATGATATTAATTAAGGTCCCGCTCCATTCAGGTCAAACAGAGTCAGGATGCTGCTATTGTGCGTGTTGGCTCACTGGAAAGGCTCATCATTGATAACACCTGTGTTCACCCTATTATTTCATGTCAAAATGGCCGCTGTTCTTTTTTAATATCTCTTCTTAAAATGTTGTTTGACTCCAGGTACCATAGTGACCAGTAAACACAGAGTCAGCATGGTCATCTGTTGCCATCTCTTAAAATCATAAATGTTTTTATTTTTCACAGCTGAAAATAATGAGATTGGCAAGTTTAGTATACCATCTCATGATTAAAAACACAATACTCCTAACATTATATTATGAAAGTGGTCCTTCCACCAGCAGATGGCGCAGATGTGTTCCTTTAATCAGACACCTTCCTTGTCCTCATTTAACCCTGAGGATGCAACAGCAGATATCATTACAGTCTTGTGTTTCATCCAGAAAATTCATCCAATAGTGTCATATAACACATATATTATATTTCATTATTAATGATCTGCTTTTGGTACAAGATGAAAAAAAAGACCATTAATGTCCACAGTTGATGTTGTTTTCATTTGGTTTTGTTTGTCCGTATGTTTCCGACGCTGTTTGGGTCACGCAGTGCTTCATCTGCATTCAACACGTTCACCTCAGCAGTCACATCCATTCGCCGCCTGAGGTCTCTGTCTGCCTGTCTGTCCGTCTGTCTCTCTGCTGCTGCTTACAGTCCATTGTGTCATTTTTCAGGGTCGTTTCAAATGCAATGCAGAAATTTGCAAATCAGCTCTTTTGGTCCTCAGCATATCAGACAGGATTATCCTCAAGCAGCGTGCAGCCTGTCTCCCTGTTTGTCCGCTTCTTCTGCCACAGCTCATCAGGCTGACAGAAGCGCTGCACATCTGACCCCAGCAGCTTTTCCAGGCTTTTCTTCAGTATCACAAGCCACAAAACAGGCCGTCAATCATAAAACCTGTCTGCTATTGTCAGGTATTCAATAAAGTCAGAGGTGGAAGAGTGAGTGGGTATATTTAGGACATTTTTAAGATATTGGTATGCCTACTTAAAGTTATAATCTGTAACATTTCTGCATTCAAATGTCGATAAACATTAAACCTTGTTTATGTTATATATGTTGTTGAGTTGTGTACTTACATTATCCCTAGTATTTCCAACAATGTTCAAACACAGAGAAATCTGTAATTTCATTCAGGTAACAGTGCATTTCACCGTTCGTCTATCAATAGCGTCCTATCCCCTTTTGTGCATGTATTAGTGTTGTGCTTGTCTGCCAGAAGCTGTCATACGTTGACTTTTCATCCAGTTTTAAGCAACATTTTTATGATACACCTTTTAGATCTTGGTTGTTTTTAACTATATATTTTAATCAGATGAAGGATTTTAGTCATCAGACGTTTGGAAGTTATCACAGAAACAAGCTGAGCTAAAGTTAGCAGAAGCTCGGCTGGCAGGCCCTCCAGGATGTCCTTTATCCCAGTTTTAAGGCAAAACCACTTTATTCAGAGTTTTTACCGGTTAAATACATATTGCTGCTGGTGGTCTACTACACAATGTCAGAAGTATTCAGAAATATTGCTGAAGTAATATAGCAATTAAAAATCAAAGTACTGAAGAATAAAATGGAAATTACAAGGTAAAGTAGAGGACCTTAAAATTGGTCTTTGAGTAAATGTATTACTCTACTCTCAGTATGCAGTTGTAATGGAGTATTTTACATCGTTGTTAGTATGAGAGGATGTGAACATTTCTCCACTGGATAAAGTTAGCTGGTGCTGTACTGCTGTTGTCCTTTTATTTAAAACTTGCTCTGGGCTCATCCAAGTTTTGGAGCTATTTTGAGCCACAGTGTATGCATGTATTTTAGTCGTGTCACATTCATTTCAATCTGAACTGCATTTTAGTGGGTTTAGCGTCTATCTATCTATCTATCTATCTATCTATCTATCTATCTGAAAGCAAAACTTTTACTTGGCTAATAGCACTTGGTAAGACTTTAGCACCACATTTATCTCACTATTTGCAGATCAAGAATTAAACAATCATTAAAATGCTTCAATAAAACTATAAAAATATGTTAAAATACTCTTTATCCTACTAGTTAAAGCATCAATAATTCTTACATTGGTCTGACGTTGAGCACTGTTAGAAACAGTTATTTCTGTTTTTTTTACGTCTGTTCTGTGTCAAAGCCAAACGTCACACAAAGGCTGTCGTCACAGCTTTTTAATTGGTCTATAAAAACCTGCTGAAGCTAATGTCTGTAGTGTTTGATACAAACCAGCACTGGAGTTACCATCTTTGGAAAGTCCAGGAGACTGTGTGAGGATTACTGGTCTTTTACAATGTAATATTTATGATTATGAATTTAGAGGAGTGGAAGAAGAATTAAGATCCTTTACTTAAACACAACAATACTACAATACAAAATAATCTGTTACTCTGTCCTGGATGTTACTTCAATATGTTATCAGTAAAATGCAGTAATATACACAGTATTATAATGGCTCCTGTTAGTGTTATATGGATTATTTACTGGTGTTTTTGCTGTATTTTATTGTTGGTTGGGGTGGATTTTTTTCAGATTTTTAATTGACACTAGACCATGGTTACATGGCATGTACAATAATGATACAACAATGACACACAGCAGGAATATTATGCAAAACATAAATGTTCTCAAGTAGTACTGTAACACTTATTATATCTGTCTGTAATAGAATCACCTTTAGCACTGTAGACAGTTTAAATACCTACTTTTCCTTGTATACTCTGATTCTCTCTTGGATGACCTTTGCTAGAAAAGGTTTGTGATATTTTAGAAAACTCTTATGATTTGTAAATTAAAACTAGGAAAGAAGCACAATATGTTCCTCTGAGACAGGAGTGCCCAAACCTTTTCCCTTGGTGCCAAAACTGAAACTTACAGGTGTATTATTAAGATGCAAAATGTGTCACATGTCACTCTGCCTGCTGTGCTCAGAATAGGAAACATGATTCAGATTTAGGGATCCTACATATTGTAGAATATTTTTAATATACTTTTTAATTTTTATTTTTATTACACTGGAAACACCTGGTGGCCAAGTTAAACCTCATGGTTCACAATGGCTCACCTATGCACAAACTCTTTGCACAAACTACACCTTGCAAATTGCACGTTTTAATTATACGCTGTTTAAAATATTTTGCATACAGTTCTACTGCTTACTGCATATAGTGTACATATTTTTCCTTACAGTCTTATATTTTCTATTATATCTTTATAATATTTTATTGTATTATTCTTTATTGTACTTTTACACTAATTTACATTTTGCACTACATTCCCCTATGCTGCTGTGTCTAACTTGAATTTCTCCTGCAGGGAATCAATAAAGGAACATTTGGGCAGCCCTGCTCTGAGATGATGAGGAGTAAAAGTACCATCACATGGAAATATTCAGGTAAAGTAAAAGTAGACCATACCTCAAAATTAAATACAGTATTTGAGTATTTGTACTTAGTTACTTTCCATCGGTGTTATTATATATATATTTTGATATTAGTGCAAACATCACAGCACATTAAATGGTCACTTCTTTGTTTTAAAAACACGTGTCGAAAAAAAAAAACCGCCAGCGATAGGAGAGAGAGGTTTGGGGTTGTTTTTGGTAGACTACTTCTAACACACACACACACACACACACAGACAGCCACTGACCATGTGATGTGAATGCCCCCTGTTCCGGTTACAGCGGGAGGGAGGAGGGAGGCAGCAGTTCAATGTAAACCTTCTCACTGATGGAGAGAAAGCGGACAACATCAGGAGTCACTCAGTCAGTCCGCGCTGCAATTTCTCAAAATGTTACATTTCTTACCCCCGAGCGGATTATAACTCCGGGAGACCTCGGCCTCTAATGTGGAGCAGCTGCATTAACTAGTGGACAGACTTCCATTAACTCGCTTTTTCTTTGCCGGCGGCCAGGTCACCGAGCTGCGCGCACTGTGCGCTTATCCACCGACACCCGGCAGGAAGAGGGCCAGCAAACTGACTATTTAGTGCCTTAGTGCCACTTTTCCCCCCCCGTTCTGATAGAGAGACCTGATCACGTGAGCAGGTGACCTCGAAGCTGTTGTCTGTCTCTTAAAAAGCCTCGAGGAAGTTAAAGAGGAGAGGAAACGGTAAGGACTGCAAGATTTCAGTTTCAGCTACAAAATTCAGCTCTACTTTGTTGAGCTCATCAACCAGCAGCACTATTACTATTATTATTACTACTACTATTACTATTACTACTACTATTACTATTACTATTATTACTACTACTATCATTACTATTACTCTACAGTTTGTTAGATATTTTCTGCTGGTGTTTTCTGATCAAGCGGTAGATGAAGGGACGAACAGACACCTGACAGACTGCTGTGGCATGGCTGCAAGAGCGTTAATTGGCTGGGACCATGATGCTTTTTGGAGCAAGTGGGTTCAACCACGATTCAGCTCCCAGAAAGAGGGTTAACTTGTCACAGACACTACCTCGTCAAATGACTCTGTCCTGACTCACATAGGAGTCAGGGGCTGCAGGCCACGACATGGGCAACTCCTCTAGGAAGGGAGAGGCAGAAGGAGAGGAAGAGGAAGGGGGGATGGATGGCGAGGAGGCAGAAATGACCAAAAAGAAGAAAGAAGAGGAGGAAGAGGTGGAGGACGAGCTTCCGCTTGGGGTGGAGGAGTTATTTGAGAGTGGCGACCCCGTGCTGGACTTGAGCTACCGTAAGTTTAAGCGGTTACCTTCACGTGTTTGTGGACTGATGCATCTGGAGAAGCTGTACGTTTGTGGAAACAGCCTGCGTACTCTGCCCGACAGCATCTCCCAGCTGCAAGGCCTGCGGATACTCGCCCTCGACTTCAACAAGATGGAAGACGTCCCTCCGGCCGTCTGCCAGCTCACTAACCTCACTCGCCTCTACCTGGGCAGCAACCGGCTGATGACCCTCCCCCCTGACCTGAGGAACCTGAAGAGTCTGCGCTGCCTTTGGATGGAAAGCAACTACTTCCAGAGATTCCCACGGGAGCTCTACGACCTGCCCAACCTCAAGTCCCTTCAGATTGGGGACAACCGGCTGAAGACGCTGCCCGCTGATCTCTGGCGTATGGAGGCTTTGAGGGGATTATGGCTTTACGGGAACCGCTTTGATACCTTCCCCAAAGTCCTGCTGCGCATGGAGAACTTGGAGATACTTGACCTGGACCGCAACAAGATATCAGAGTTTCCCAGCCTGAAGCGACTCAGAGCACTGCGCCTGTTCTCTTACGATCACAACCCAGTGGACTCCCCTCCCAAAGTGGGTGAGGAGGTGCTCGTGGTTGGGGAAGGTGCTCTAGAGTTCTTGGAGGCGCGTGAGGCCAGGAACGAGAGGCGACGAAAGGCTGCAGAGGAAGAGGCCGAAGAGTTGGCTCTGGCAGGGGAGGAGCCGGTGATTCATGGCATCCTGAAGAACAGCAGCTCCAACTCGAAACAAGCAGCGAACGAATCTTCTGTGACTTTAGGGGACGTGGACTTCAAAGAGGAAGAGGCAAAAGAGGAGGAGGAGGAAGAGGAGGAGGATGGGGAGCTGCCAGTCACTGAGTATGACGGAGATGAGCTTGAATATGACGAGGAGGGGGTTGAATATGAGACGGAGGAGCTGATATGTGAGGGAGAGGGGTTCGAGTATGAGGGAGAGGAGCTGGAGTATGAGAGGGCACAGATGGACTATGAGTACGAGGAGCTGGAGGACACGGGGAGACAAGATGAAGGTGCATGAAAAACCCCTCATACATCCAGACTCAGATGATCTGCAGGCAGGTAGAGGAGGTGGGCGACAGAGGGGTGGGACATTCTTAGCTGTGCTGCTAATTCCTAATCTATTGTTAACTGTGAAAATAAACAAGCATTGAGGCATTATGATGAACTTTAAACTGACAGCACATGTGATATCTCAATCAACTGCAAATAACCACATTAGAGCAGGACTCAGGTGGAGAGCGTGTGTGTGTGTGTGTGTGTGTGTGTGTGTGTGTGTGTGTATGGCTGTTTTCTGAGTGTACACAGGAGACCAAGTCTTCCATTATTAAATATTTAACTCAGCTGATGAAGTCAGTGTCAATCATTTATGGAAAAATATGTCTTAATTGGGAACCAGTGAGAGCAGCAGCTAATGTTTACATGACTGACACACTGTAGTATTTCCACACATCATGGCCAGTGTCTGTTTTATGTGCCTGCCAGTGCACCTCGGCTCGCCTCATTGCTATTTTTATAAACCGAGACTGGTGCGCATGTAAATGTGTGTATTGGATCTAGATTTACAAAATATTTATGACACGCTAAACACAACCCCCCAGCCCTTGTCAGTGTTGTGTAAGCAGTCCTGTGAGTGTCAGTGCCAAGAAAGAGAGGGAGACAAGGAGGATTATTAGAGGGATGAATAGCTGGGGTGCCTCACCATAAAAGGTAAGTCCATAGGGGGGCTCCAAACATGAAATAGACTCACTAAAAAGTCAAGCAGGAGATTTTTTATTTTTTTTAAAAACCCTGAAGCCCCCTGCAGGTCCGAGACTCAGGTCCGTTGTGACCTCTGTACTCCCTTTTGTCTGTGAGTACACCTTTTCTACCTCTGTCTCTCGCATGAAGCGGCCCGGCCCTTGTTCTCCTCTCATCTCTGCACTCATTATTCATGTGGGGCTCGTATGTAATCCAATCCTTTTTCCCTCCACGTATCTTTTTCTCACATCTCATTGAAAGAGTGAAATATTTATCCCCAATGCTGAAATATTTATGCTCGTACTCGTGTGGCAGCGCGTCTCGACTGCTGTGTCTGTGCTGAACAGAACAGACTCAAACTGATGATTGCTTTTCTTCAATTTCTAAATGTTACATGCATGAATCTGACTTTTTACATATATAAACATGGATTTTACATTTGTTTTATGTCTAGGGCTGCCAGTCTGCCACTAATTATTTTTTATAGTGTATTAACCTGTTGATTATTTGCTTAGTTAAATCATTGGTTGATCTGTATAAAATCTGTCACAGTTTCCTAAAGCGCGAGTTGGTGTCTTCAGGTAGCTTGTTTTGTTCGACCAACAGTCTAAAACCCAAAAATATTCACTTTTCAATCATAAAAAACAAAAACTCTTAAGCACATTTTCACATTTGATCAGCACCGGTCAATTTTTGCATTTTTTTTTATTATTATTTTTCAAAATGGCTGCTTTTTCAGTTAATGTTGCTACAAATGATTATTCTGACAGATGTTATATCTGTCAACTATTTTCTTGATAAATAGACACATTGTTTTGTCTATAAAATGTGAAAAAACTGAAAAACACATCACATGTTTCTAGTGCCCAAGGTGACGTCTTCAAATGTAAAAAGTATTTTTTTAAGAAAATTGCTAATGCTAACATGGCAACATACTCATGTTTAAGGCGAACAACAATCAAAAAATCTGCCCTTATTATTTTCTATCTATAACCCCACAACCGCCCCGCGTTGCTTCATGCCACTGTTCTATTTCCAGTGTTGCTGCGCATGAAATGATAAATTATAATAAGCAGACATTACCTGGCAAGTTATAGCCCTGGAGATTCTCTTCATGTGAGTTTAAATAGTGGTGTCCACCCATGATTATAAACTAACGCCGTAGACATTTTATATTGTGTGATCAATCAAAGTTTGAAAAAAGTAAACATTTGGCCTTCACAGATGAAAAAGTTCAGGTTACATCCTACTAAATGAGAAGACTCTGCCATCTGCTGTTGTAAATGTGTACCAGCATTGGGCTGTAATAGCAAATTAGTCACCAATGCAGAATCTGTTGTTGCCACAAACCTGACCAGCTCTGGGAGATTGACGCGACACAGCGGCGCCAGCATGTTTTCACCTTTAGAATAATGTTTCTGACCATCTTAGTTTAGCTTGTTATGACATCTTAATTAGCACTAAACACAAAGTACAGCTGAGGCTGATGGAATGTCATTAGTTTAGCAGGTATTTAGTCATAAAATAAAGTCTTGGACAATATAAAATGTTGACCTGAATGATCACCAAAGTTACTCATCCTGAGGGGACATGAATGTGTGAACCAAACTTCATGGCAGTTCATCAAATAGTTGTTGAGACATAGCAGTTAAAACTAAATGCCAATCTGCTGGTGGCGCTAGAGGAAAAGTCAGAGGATCAGAATGTCCCAGGGACCGTAAATCTATCCAGTTCAGTTGTTAAGGTTGAACAAGTATTGGCTGAAACGAGTATCTGGTACAGATTGTTCTGTAAATAGTTATCTTACTATTGTGATCAACATTGTTGTTAAGTTCAATTCTGCAAAAGGTTTTCTAATAAATACAACAACTTCTGATCCACCCTTAGCCCCACCAACTTCAGGTTTAAGCCCCACCCACATCTGGTTTAAGTCCCGCCCACTTCAAGTACGTATATAAATACAGATCATTTAGTTGAACAGATACCCATAATTGTGTTCTCATCCTTAGGTGGGATATCTATTTTAAAAAAGTGTTGGACTAACACACCAACATTTCCATTCCCTAGAGCTGCTAGCAGGTCTAGAATTTCCATAAAGCAAATTATTTTGGTGTTATTTCACTGTCAGGGAGTTATATAGGCAGCTAATTAAACATGATCTACTATCTATACTTAGCTGACACTGACAATTCTTTGCAGACACTCTGCATGGTTTTATATAGCTCTTGTTATGACACAGCGATCTTGTGTTTATTTGACTCATGCTGATAATGTAAAACCACTGCAGTTTCTGAGAGTTTGCCCACTGTAGGTGTATGGAGCCGCAGTATATGACACATGCTTTTGGAAACTCAACCCTCCTCCTCTGCTGCTCACTCCACAGCGGTGGGTGGCAAAACAGTTTGACACACCACAGACGTCGATGGGAATCGGTGCCATACTTAGTCTGAGTGTAATTATTTTGCTCATTAGTTTACACTCCTCTCATTCTCTGTAGGTCAGTGACAGGAAGGCGGTCAAAGACAATGCATCATCTCCTTCACTCCCTCTTTGGCTTTCACACGACTCACTTCACACAACTGTCTGACTGGCAGCCTTTTCAACTCACACAAAAGAGACTTCCCAAAGAGATGAGAATTAGCCGTTTTTTGACAGGACTATTGTGGAAGAACACAGACGGGGGGAGTGATTAAGGTTCTCAGGATTTGATTATAAGGAAATGTAATACAGCAACAGTTCTTACTCACACATCCACTCTGTTCATTTATGAAAATACTACAACAGACTAAAGTAAAAACCCAGAGTAATGTGTGAACATACACATTTTATTTTTATGGATGTAATGCAGGTACCATCACAGTGTGTGAAGGCCTAGCCCCAAAAGATAAACCTGTGAAATAGAAAAAGGGTCATGTGAGTCAAAGGAACCACATGCATGTTGGGACTTAATGGGTGGAGCTTGTTTGTTTGTGTACCTGTCCATATCTCGACGATTGTAGCCGTTTCCACAGATTGCTTGTACGTGGCCAGATTTCAACTTTTCATAATCAGAACGATGACAGAACCTGGAAAAAAACAGTTTATTTTTAAACTGTATATTTGTCAACTAAACGGGTGTCCTGATTTTATTGTTTCATCCCAGATAGTTAATCTTGTTATCTGAAAGCATTAAACACACTTACGTGCTATTATAATGTGTAGTGAAGTGTGAGCAATCAAAGGGTGAATTAGGGAAAGCCTGGTGGCTTGGAGCATTTAGAAGAAACCCTGACGGCTCCTAGAAAACACAAAAGACTAAAACAATACTCAACATATCAACAGATAAAACACAGAGGTAATATTTTATAAAAGAAAAAACTATAAGATAAAAATATATAACCTTTTTTCCAATGGTCTTCACAGTCAGTGCATTACTCTTAGTCTGAGGTGACGGCAGAAGGGAGGTCTAGAATAGCAGAGGAAAGGATGTTAAAGTGATATCATTAAAATCTACTACAGCTGACTGGGAGGGGGGTCAATACTCACTGGCCAGGCAAAGGGAGCGATGTCACCTCGAGTGAATCCTGTTTCTCGAGAAGAAAGGCTGCACAGGCCCGGTCTCGCCTCAGTGCCCTCAAACACAAGCAGAGAGAGACACAGTTAAACCTTACAGACTGTGGAAAATAATATTACATCCTTTCAAAGGAGAGTTCAGAGTGAGAGAAGTTCTGTGGCTCAACCTGCAGAAATGAAGGCGCCATGAAGTCACTTTTCATCACTGAGCTGTGAATCTGGCGAGGTTCAACCTGTGAAAGACGAAAAATGTGAAAGTAGACGTTGCTCAGCAGAAAAGACAGACCACACAAAAGAGGTAACTGCTGTACCTGCTGTGTGATTACAGATGGAAATATAGACTAGTGATAGTTACCATGCAGCTTTTTATGTCCTGAAATGTGTTCAGTTGAAGGTCTGTTCCTTCAGTGAAACCACTTTCTTGTTTTGGACCCACAACCACATGGTACTGGGAAACTGGAAGAAGTGCAACAGTGCAAATACTCCACATATTTATCTTACATTTTATTATGTTTTTGTCTTTCCTATAGCATCTATTCCTGCTTGTCTTTAAACTTTAAATTCACATAAACGTGGGTCATCAGCAGGTGCAGACTTTATTTTACCTGTTGGTGTGAGACAATGCGGCACAAATGATCGCTGGTATTCTGTCTGAAAAGACAACAAAATATATAATGAGACATTTCTCAACATCCCCCAAGTGTTGTTATGTTTATGTATTGTTTAGTCCTAAGTATTCCTCTGCAGTTACCATTTTTGAATGACTCCTCAGCTGATGGAAACCGCTCTCTCTGGGTTTGTTAATGATGTTTGGCAAAGACCCCGAACAATCAGACGGGATGTGAGGTTGGTAGTCTTGTTTAGCTTGAGACATAAAACTGTCTGATAACAGGAGTCTGCAGACGAAAACAACACACTCATGTTTGAGGTAAAAGGCTTTTTGAATCCTTTAAGAAAGGTTGTTCACAAAAATACCAACACTGAATAACCTAAGCAATTGCCGACATTCAGACCCCAGGCAAAGTGGCCCAAATCAGTTTTTGTTTTTGCTCAAATGTGACTCATATGTTTTTTTTTTTCAGTCATATCAGAATTTATGTGGCTTTTGCGTCACTTTAGATCAACATTCGTAATGCAGGTCACTTCAGGACCTCGACTTGTTCATACTGGAATCTAATACGAGCAATGCCAAACAAAAAACTCTGAGCGAGGTCTGAGAAGTAAATCAGAATTTAGCACTAAGGCTTGCAAGGCTTGTCTGTTCACCATCTTCAACATCTAACCACACAGATAGCTTTAGCAGTATAATAATTTTAGCATTTTTGTTTATGAAAAGACGTCCAATCAGGCAAAATTATTAAGATCAACTGTGATGATTTCTTTATCCATCCACCCCACTACAACAGAGGTGAATAGAAAGTGTAGTTTGTGGTGCTCATTGCACTGGACAATCAGTAATCATAACAGTAGTAGTATGTAATATGGACTATTTATTGGGTAGAAAGTAGTTCCTATGGAAAGTATCAAGCATTCACAGCAAAATCTGAACATTATCCTGATTAACACAAAAAAATGTTTTTGGAAAGACCTATTGGAATTTGATTTTATTGATTTTTTCAATAAAACCACCACAATTGAACCTCTGTTCACACCCATGGTAAATTCAAACAGGTTTTTTTTTTCATCATTTCGTCTGATTAGACCTTTTCTTGGGACTGTAGCATGTTCATGTGATTTGTGGGCCCTGTTATTTCCTCTCCATCACAGGCAGACATGTTTACTTGTCATAGTAGGAAAAGCACAGGTGTTCCTGATAACATTAACGATGGCTCCGTTCTGTGTACGTGTCCCAATAAGCCATGACAGTGTGACAGTGAGGCAGCATGAACAATACCAGGACCCTGAAACTGAAGCAGGTAAATTGAATCCAGCCATCATGAATTTGATTATTTACACCATGTGCTATTCCTGCTGTGACATTTAAAATACATTCAGTGGAAAAAGTTCCCTGCAACGCTTTGATCATCCAAACTAAATGAAAACACTTGTGTGGGTGTGAAGGCCGTTAAAAAACATGGCCAGATACGAGACGTAAGGAAAAGTATATTTTGTTGTGATTTGGCTGAACTGACGGTTTAAAGCCCACATGACACAGGTGTTTCCATTTCTGTTGTCTGATTAGACCGTGTGGGTGGGTACACACTGTGGTTCTTTGACAGCTGGGACAATTTACACTTTTATTTTGCTCCACTGACTAGAGGGCTAATCCACCTGTGTAAGGCTTTTAAAGCACAAGTGTGTATGATTTAGTGGCATCTATTCGTGAAGCTGCAAATTGCAACTAACTGAACACAGCCTGCAACGGATGTGACGACCTGGGAAGGAGAAGGGGCTATGAAGTGTTAAGGAGAAACCAAGATAGCCCTGAAACTTGCAAAAACGTGAAAGGTCCTATCTACAACCAGTGTTAAGTTGTAGATAGAACCTACTGTAAAAACATGGCGGTTCAACATGGATGACTCACTGGAAGGTGACCTGTGGCAACTGTAGATTAAAAAATGTCTCATTCTAAAGTAATGAAAACACAATGTTTCTTCTATTTAAGTGATTATACACTAATTAAAACTAGTGCACTAATGAGCATTATATTCAGTTTCTGCCAATAGATCATCCTAAATGTTAGCCTACACACTGGACCTTTAAAGTAAACTAGAAATCAACTGGCAAGCAGCTACATTTAATTTTTATAGTTGGAGCCTGTAGAGCTTGAGCCCTCAGCTCTCACACTTACCCAAACTGAGGGTTGTCAATGTAGTCCAAACTGGGCCTGTAATATACAGCCGGTCTCAGGTTTGCTGTGAAGCCTGTCTCTCTGGAACGTCCTGGGTAAGAATTGAAGTTCGCCCTACCTGCATATAAGAACTGGCCATCAGAATCTGAATCCTAATTGTAAAAATTATTTCTGTTATGTAGAGATTTTTTTAGTACATTTTTTAACGTAAGATAAAAGTTTTGCCCCGTCATCTTGCATCCTCTCACCACAAGAAGGATTGTAGAGGTTGAGTGTGTTGCTGGCCAGTCGTCCCATGCTGCCTGTTGCTCCAGCAGTCGGCATGACTATCCTCCCCTGCTCAGCCATCTGTGACTTCTGTAATGGAAACCTTCACTGACAACAGTGATGGATTGCAAAAATCCTCTGGGCATGTGCGCAGTGCTGTAACCACAAATAAAAGCAGAAAACAAGGTGTAACTCCCTTGTTTTGTTTTTTTAGGTTTGACAGTATCCATCAGAAGTCTGAAAAAGTGATTACAGAGACTGCAGCAAATAATGCAATAAGTGCTGCCTTTATCAAATGCTGTTTGAGTGAGGAGAAGAGTTCTGAGTAACAGCAGTACAGTAAATATGTTTTCATTTAAACGTACAAGGAGTTTTTAACTGGTTATGCAACAGTCTCAATTTAATACTGATGCATCTATATATGACCTACGTAGGCACACCAGACCATCAGTGAGAAGACTGGCTATTTCTAGTTCATGCTAATGTCTGCCCTCGGGTCAAATTCCCCTTGAAATCAATGAAACTAGGCAGAGGAAACACTACTGCTTTTGCCCACAGGGGCCACCAAAATCAAGAAAAAACATTAAAGTTACTTGTGGGGGCTTTAAATGACCTCTGAACAAAATAATCTGCAACAGCACAGGAAAGCTTCACTCACCTGCATCTCCAGGTTGCTTGTTCACCTCTCTGTCTTGTGGTGGTTTTGCAGGTAAACATGTCTCTGTTGCTAGGAGATCCAGCACAAGGGCAGGAACATTACAGACTCCAGAGTGAAAGGTTGGCTGCTTAACATCAGATAATGTTTCTATTGTATATATCAAGCCTGTTCTTTGTTCCTTTAACACATATGCAACTTGATCATTTGAAAATAAGACTGCATCCATCGGATTATTTAATGTTGTGAGATTCCTGTTTTGTTGACTCTAGTTACTTTACATCTCGAAGTGTAATTTAATGCTACAATTTACATAAAAGTGGATATTGTTGCTGTTGTTTTTCATACAACACATAGCGATCCTCAAATGTCTCAGCTTATTCTCTTTTTTCTTTTCTCTTTAGCCTTTGTTCAAGTTTGTATTTGTAGCACTGTATTGTATTACAACTCTTACTTATTTTATTTAACATTACGCTATATCACAGTATTCTTTTCACTTTCTCTTAGACATACATTTTATAGCAGTATATAATTGTTTGTAATACACTTTAATGACGTGATAAGCAAATATAAGGAAACCTTTAAGTTAATTAACATACAGTATTTTCATTCTATTTTATTACAACTGTGTTATATTGTATCTTCTACATTATTTTCAATTATTTAACATTTAAAAAGATCCTGTAGATGCTTACAACTACATTATATTGTATTACATACATTTATATATAATGTATAATAATATATAATGTTAAAATGGAAAATAGTAGGGGTTTAAAGTAAAGTGTTGCTGTTATGGTGTAGTATATTATATGCTGTATATTGCACATATATAAAAACAATATACCTTAATAATTTCTATGCATATCATAGTTACATTAGGTGCTATACACACGCCATTATTGCCTTTTTGATGTTTGTTTGTTTTTGACATCAGTAGTACTCTAACAAGTCTCTGTAGCCTACTACTGTGAGTCTGAGTTGCACTATTGAACATATTTCTGCACCAGTGTGATATGTTCTACAGATCTTTGGAGGAAAGTTTGTGACTGACTTATGTCTTGTGGTGGTAATTTCCTGGAGATGATGAAGATGATGTCTTACATTAAATTGTAGCTGCACAGCTCTCGTACCAAAAAATCCTCATCAGACTGGACAGTTTCTCCATGTGTCCATTGGATGGCAGTGTGATGCCACAGAGACTCTGACTCCAGTCTAGCCCAGAAAAGATGTAAGGTTATGTAAAAAATGATGGATGGCTTGAAATTTGCATGACATCTTGATAAAAATGTCCATCCGAGACATGGAGTTATCATCCACCACGTTTAGCAGGAGAAAATGTCCATACATCATCTATACATCTGCTCACATACATCTACATGAACATCTCAATTTATTCTGAAGGATATTCACCTCCTGGTGTATTTAGGACATCAGGAAACACAGGCTGAGCAGGACATCAGAGCAGTTTTTCCTGACGCAGACCTGGATATATATATTCTTGCTAATTAACCCCCAAGAGAAGGATTTTTCTGTTAAAGGAGTAAAACAGTGTGATTTCTATCCGGTGGATCTTACACAACGTCTGCTTTATTTTAGAGATCCAACATGCTCTTCAAACACACAGTATGAACCCTTCAAACCCAGTGTGAGTTTCTTCACTGTTTCAGTATTGGTTTTACACTATAAAATCTAACTGGGGCTTTTCCATGACAACCTGCTCACCCTGTGAATCACTGTCAACAGTCACATCATTTCCACACGTTTCCTTTAATTCTCACTTCTCATTCCTTTGCTTTTCATCTCATTTCACTGCATCTTCACCTCTGTCACATCACTTCTTGCTCCCTTTCTTCCCTCCATCTGTCCAACGCTGGCAGTCGGCAGAGCCTATCTTTACCAAGCTGTTGCCTGTGTTGCCATTCCACAGTCTCTCTTGCTTGACATGCTGTCGTGCCAAGCCTGGAACTGTTCATTATCTTCTCCAAAAAATAACTACAGGGAAACGCCTGCATCATTGAAACTGACAGTCTCATTTCCTGCTTCTTTTCTCTTCGACACAATGTGCACATTATTGGCATTTCTAATTATAAATTCACAGGGATCCATACAGCAGGAATAGACCATGTGCCTATTTTCATTCCAGTCAAAGATTACACCAGATGATTTCACTTATTAGAACAACTTCAGCCAGAGAGTCAGAGAGGAGGAACTGATCAGTGAAGGCACCTGCTGTACTGTTTGAAATGAAAACCTGCAGACTCTCAGCCCTCCACGTGATTGTTCATCTCCGCAATACAGCAATCTGATTAATTCACACATAACATGAGCCAGCCTCAGTTATAGGCTAGATTCATGATCAAACTGACAATAATACGAGGAAAAGAAAAGAGAGAAAAATGCTGCACCTTCTACAACAGTTTGCACTTCAGATAACACAGAGGGAGCTTAAAAGAGGAAGGAAAAAAAAGGTGGGTGCAGTGGTTCTAAAAATAGACGCAGGTGATGCAAGCAAGGGTCTCCCGTCGAGTTGATGCGCTTGGCTTGCCTGCAGCCGTCTGTTGTAGTTCAGGGAGGGACAAAACCTTGGCCCCTGTCTGCAGGAGCTCGGCTGGCTCAGTGCTCGTCTGTGTTTCCCGCCCAACTCTGCTTCCTGATACTCTGCTGCTCTGGGTTTCTCTCTGTTCGGTTCAACAAGATCCTATGTCTGCCATAGAATAGCATGGAATTAATATCTAGAGAGACATAAAGAGACAGCTCAGGCGTTAAGACCCTTCTTTGTGTGTCAGGTCTCAGAGGGGCTCTCTCTGCTTCACCACCTCACTGTTCTGAGTTTTATCTCCTTCCTTCTCCATTTTTGACTTCTGTACTTAATAGGCATTCTGGCACGGATGGTTTGGAGTAAATTGCATTGTCATCTTTTTCCATTTCCACTCAGCTTTGGTGTGTAATGCTAAGGAGGCAGACTGTGATGAGCAGAGGGGGGGGATTCAGGCATAAAATAAGACATTTACAATTTCTGACATGTGCAGGACAGCCTATTCTGTAACTTGATGGGAAACTGATTAAATTAAAGAAAATACATCTATTTCAATATCACATCTGAATGTTTGTGCAATTACTGTACGTGTTTGATGGATTAAACCTGAAACACACACACACAGCTTCAGCTGAACTGAAGTGCAAGATGTCAGAAATGAATCGAACTGTGTGAACCATGCTGGAGCTAATTAATTAACAATCTGTCATCCTCCTTGAAAATGGGATGAAAGATTCCTTCAGAGTGTCGCATGTAGCCATGTGATTCATTTACCTTCATGCTGACTAATGTGTTGCTCAGAGCAGAGCTCCACTATACATTCTTAATTGCTCTCAAAGGCAAACACAACCTTTGCAAATTGCTGCCTCTATCAGCAAATGTTTAAATGCTATTCACTAAACAGTTACTAATTATTTATATTGCAGTTTAATTACATTGTATTTGTATGTGTGTCCAAGATACACCAAAGAGCCACAAGTTATGTAGACTGTTCACATGTTGATGTCAGGCTGTTTTTCACATTTTGAGGGGTTAGAGGCCTAACTTCCAATTACATGTATGTTACATACATGTATGTTACACCACACAGTGATACTTTCCTGTTTAAACTGAAATGGTTTGTCTAGTTTAGTGTGAAAGAGACGGACTCACCTACGCAAAGTTCTGCTCTCAACCACAACCAACATGTGAGCCTAATCACCCAACATCGGTGCCCGATTTCACTGATGCTTTTGTGGCCTAATGGGAATAAGGCTCCAGGTTTAAAAATAGGGAAAGCCTTTTAAGAGGAAACATTTTTTTTATTAGTATTGTCAATTAACTTTATTTATTATTTATTTTATTATATTTATATTCAGAGATATTTAGTTTACTATCACAGAGAATTAAGAAAATACTAAGAGAATAGAAGAAGACTTGGCTATGTTCACACTGCAAGCTTTAGTGCTCTATTATGATGTACTGCTCAGATCAGATTTTTTTGGTTTGTTCCTGTTCATATTGTTGAAATATCATATATAATATCATATTGTTCATGTTGTTGTTAAATGTTGCCCAGATCAGATTCCAGTGTGAACAGGTCACGGTCCTGAAGTGACCAGCATGAAGAACGTAGATCTACAGTGATATAAAGGTCACATAAATTCTGATATGACTGTTATATACTGAGGACGCATTGTAAAAATCAGACCTGCATCTGATATGAACTACATATGAAAGTGGACCAAATCTGATGATTTGATGATCTGAGTCAAGTATTTTCTGTCACTTGTGCTTTTAGCCTGAATGTTGCCAAAGAGTTGACAGCCATGCTAGTGGCTCTGTGAGACGTGGCAGTGCTAACATCAGCATGCTAACATTTTCACAGTAACATTGCTGATTTAGCATGTTAACTATATTTACACGCTCAGTTTAGCATGTTAGCATGCTGTAGTGGACAACATCATCTGATGATGGCGC